TCGACCAACGAAAGCAGCAAATAAATGAACCGGTTATCAAATATTATTATGATATCATCGATTTGTGTAAGAAATATGATCCACTTATGTCAGACAAACAAAAAATTCGTAAATTAACCAATGGACTTAAATTGTCATTATACCAAGAAGCTATTAAAGAAACTTACTCAACATCATTCGATTTTTTGATAAAGGTACAACAACTGGAAAATATTCAGAAGTTGATCGAATTACGACAAAATCAAACAGCCCAAGTATCAACCATAACAAATCGAGAAGACAAATTATCATTATCAACACAGGTACATTCTTATCAAATATCGAGTCGACAATCGAACAATTATCCGACAAAATCGACATATTATTCTTCATCGACACAAAATGATTATCCATATCCAACGCAACAATCGTTTTCACCAACATCAAACCAATATTCACCATATGAACACTCTGAATTTAATCAGAATCAACAATATCCAATATCACAGTTCTCTCAATCGCAACACATGTACAGTCAACCACACTCATATTTACACCATCAACATCATTCGTCAGGAAAATCAAACATTTATTGTTATAATTGTGGTCAACCTGGTCATATTGCTCGATATTGTCAACAACAGACTGCCACTTCATCAGTCGATCAGCAACAACAAAAGTATTCAAAAAACTAATAACAGAGGTGCCGGATGGTAGTTCCTCTGAATCAATAATAAATCCATCACCATTATCATTTATCACAGTTCCGGTAAATGGTAATCGATTACAATGTCTTTTAGATACAGGAGCTAGTAATACATTTATTCATACATCAACATTATCCCATATCAGACACAATCCAATTAAGCGAATCAAAGGTAAGTATACACTGGCAGATGGAAATACCACAGTCGATATCGATGGAGAAGTCGAAATTTATATTCAAATAGGACACATTAGAACGAAAATTACTGCATTTATATCAAAATCTTTATCAACATCATGTATATTAGGTCAAGATTGGATGAGAAAGTATGCAGTCGATATTTGCCAATCAAGTAAATTAATTATCATATACACAGCAAGATCATCAGCTATTATATCGATGGACGATAATATGGACAAACATAATTTTAACTTAAAGTTAGCTAATACCATAGTATTAAAACCACAACATGAAACAATTGTTCGACTTAAAT